TGCTCACTTGCTTTGTGTCTTCGTTTTCTCATCTGACAAGTGAAGGTAATTAAATCCACTTCATGGGTTGTTATAAAACAACCCAGTATCGTGTTCTGAATAGGCTGAGGCAGGTAGTCCATTGTTGGTTATGTGATTATTACTTCAAAAGGTGATTTTGCTTCATACTTGAAATAAAAAGAGGCAGCAGCTATGAACCCCTTCATTTCCTGCCTCAACCCCCCATGCACTTACAGGCAGTCCTCCCCCATACCTAATTAAATCTTTTTACTTTCCCAGAGGGTAGAAAAGGAGTGCTGAGCTAGGTTGGGCCTACCTGAGAGATGTAGCCATTTGCTCAGTGTTTCATTTTTGTCATACTCAAAACCTCAGCTATAAGAGAGAGGAGGGATTAATCTAGGATTTAGGGCCTTATGTAGGACAGGAGGGATAAAAGAATAAAAGGTAAGTAAGATAAAGAGATCAGTTGAATTGATGTAGTGCAGGCACTATGTTGGTTAGGGGAAGGAAATGATGTTAGGGAGAAGAGAGAAAAGGGAAGAATCGAGAGAAGAATCATAATAAGGTTCAGAAACAGGCTTTTTGAGTAAAAGGTTGAAAGCACTGCTGCTGATGTTGCCTAGATACCTAACCTGTTTTTATGTTGGGGAAACAATTAGGAGAGGTAGGACCATGGCTCCTGATGATTGAGGTAATTACTTTTCTCTGAGAACTCTTCAGGTGAAACATTTCCATACTTTCCCCCCATTCTTCCCTATCCTTAAACCCCTCAAAAAATGATGAAGTATAAGATACTGCAGATCATTTAGGAATTATCTTTACAAAATATGTACCCTTTTTATTATTTTTTTAAATATTTATATTTGCATACAGAACTGGGGTACAGGCCAGAGGTGCAGGGGCGGTGAGGGGATTCACCAGAGACGGAGTGGGGAGCTGAATAGGCAGATTGACAAAGTACACTGCTGAGGGGAGCAGCAGGAAAGACAGGAGAAATCTGTGCCATGTGGGCCCCCTCCCTGGGCAGGGATGAAACTGGTGCTGAAGCAGCTTTGGCTAGCTTTGCAATACTTCACTTTAACCCGTTGCACCACCAGGCAGGGCCCAGTTCCCTTTTTAAGGAGTAGAGCTGACATCCAACAATTAATATTAAATAGAGAAGAAAATCACAATATATAGTGATTTGTTTTCTAATTCTTTTTCCTATTTTCTTGTTAGGAGCATTCATTCTTTCAAATAGTTATATAATTTTTTAGGCAAAGAGGTGAAAGATTAATAAAAGAACGTGAAATAGTTAATGGATGAATTAAAGCTCTTATGTTAAGAGGTTTGATTATTATGTCTTTAGACAAGTTATACAGGATTAATGAGCATATCATTTGCTTAATTTATAAATTAACTTGGACACTTTCTACACTCCATTGTCTGTTCTGTGCAATTATTTTTTTAGTGTGCATTATGTGACATACACTTTTTCATTCAGGTTGCTAGTTAGGTCTTTTGGTTTATCTGATGAACAGCCCATTAAGTATTTGACAGAATTTAATCTGACAGTTTTGCAGTTATGTAACATAGAACAGAAACTTGAAAACAACAAAAAGGGAGAAGCAAGTGACTTACCACAAGCAACCTATTTTGCTTTCGAGAATCTTATCCATCATTTTGCCTTTCTAAATTGTAGCAAAATCACTGTAAGGCTAGTTAATTTATGAAGTTTTAAGTTAATAATTAAACTATATATAAACATATAGAGGTGAAAAAGTCTTCAGTTTTACCCTGTCCACTTGAATTACATTACCAGTGAGAACACAAAAGCTTAACTAGGGTAAATAACTTGCCTCAGGGTTAGAGTTTGTTAGGGCAGAACTGACCCAGGAAGCAAAGGTCCTAAATAGAATTCCATGATAGTGCATCCAGTGATAGTGCTCTTGCTAGTGTAATAGGTGATTAGAATACTTAACGAAGATATTATTACAATATTTTTAAAAAATAATTTCAAACAATTAGCAAATACTATGACATTTGATTTTTGCATATTGAGTAAAACTAATAATTTTTATATTAAATAATTAATTTTGAGCGTCCCTATTTGATCATTTGGGATAATGTATGATGTTGGTCAGCTTTTTTAATGCCTGAAGCTCTCTTCATCTACAGAATGGAATGATCCAAGTAACTCATGTTAATTTAAATGTGACAGCCCCTTTCAGGCTTGATGCATCGTCACATCTCAGTAAATGTCACCTGCTGCTCTTACTGACTTATAATAACTTCTAGTTTTTTTATCTCCTTTTAAATTTCAGTAAGTGATTATTTAGATGATAAAATTGAGTATTGAGAGAGACTAGTCATAAAAGTAATTATTTTAAGGATAGATTTACAAACAAATATTTTAGAAGAGGTATGTTTGGGTAGTTTTGAAATTATATAAAAATATTTTCTGATTTTTTCCATATTAAAAACCATAAAACTCTAGCAGTTTTTATTCTGTATTCAGAAATCATGAGTTCTAGCCAACTGAAGTTTTTTCTCAGTAGTGCTCTTTATGCCAATTTCAGAATGTTAAAATTGTTCAACCTTACAAAACCAGGATTGTTTCCTTTTATTTACACAGCATACATGCAGATAATCTTAGATTAATAGTGAAAATAAGGTTAGCACTAATAAGGTTAGTGTTTATTTTTCTACTTAAATATATAAAAAGGTTTAAAGTAAAAGAGAATGAATCTCTGTTTCTACACTATTTTAGTCATGTTCTACTTGCCTGAAGCTGCCACACCTTCCTCTGTGCCTATTAGAAAAATGTATTATCTCATTGGTGATTTTGTAGTTTAGGGTGATTACAGCATTTGAGAATCTGATCCATGCCACAGCATGGATCAACCTTATAACCTTTATGCTAGCTAAGTCAAGTCATACATAAAAGAACAGTTACTGTATGATTCTACCTAAGTGGTAGCTAAGAATACTGTGATACTAATCCTTCTTGAATGTCATCTAGTCAGTGATATGTGGTATATTAAATGCCTTAATGTTTTTGTTAGATCCAAAGCTTAGGATCTTAGCTATAAGAGAGGAGAAAAACACTTTTAACTGCCCTAATTATACTCTTCCACAGCTGACCATTTATTTTGTTTTTAGTTTCATCTAAAGATTTAATTCAAAATGTGACTATAGAACATTATATTTCCGTAGTTTGTCTTTACTTGCTGACTTTATGATAGAAACATTATTAACAACCCAAACTACATGCTAACATGCTCAAACTAACAAAAACTTTCTGTACCATTGAGCTACTGTTTTAATTTTTGAACCTTTTCTAATATACTTTCTTATTTATATAGGCTTCTGATTGGCCTCTTAAAATTGTTTTCCCCCCTTTTTAAAAGTTTGCTGGAAATTGTATGAGATTGCTGTCATAAGTAGTCTCATAGGCATTAAGGTATATTTCTAGTTTCCATTGGACTGTCTTCATATGCCTGTATCATGTTGTTTTATAAATAGGAGTTTGATAACATGTTTTAATATCTGACAGGACTTTGCAACTTTCTCTAGTAATTGTTCTGCCCTTTCAGATCTTTTTCTCTATTCTTGCTTATTTACCTTTTTTTTTTTTTAAGATTTATTTTATTTGGGCATCCAGGAACTGGGGTATAGACCAGAAGTGTGTGTATTTGGGAAGGTGTGTGAGAGGGTTTGCCAGAGACAGAGTGAGGTGCAGAACAGGCAGAGCTAACTGAAATACACAGCTGAGGGGAGCAGTGGGCAGGACTGAAGTGGTCTGCTGCAGCATATGGGTCACCCACCAGCCTGAGGGTGATAGTTTTATTGTGCTGAGACTTAACCCCTTGTGCCACCAGGAAGACCCCAATTCTTGCTTATTTACTTTTTATAATTAACTTTGTAGTCAACTTGTTTCCAGAAAAAAAAATCCTAAAGGTATTTTCATTGGGATGGCATTTATCTTAGGGTAAGCTGCTACCTTTAGGGTATTGAATCTTCCTTTCCAAGAATGTGATTTGTCATTCTTGCCTACTTTGCTTCTTCTAGGAATGTTTCATAGTTTTCTTATGTAGGTCTTGTACTATTTATTGTTGTTAAATTTACTCTCTTTGTTTTGTAAATGGGGTTGTCTTTTCTGTTTCTACTACATTTCCCCCTATTCATTACCTCTTCCTGGTTATAGTGGTACATATGAGGACTTGGTTTCACTATGTAATTTCATATCCTGTTTCACTACATTTTCTTACTGTTTGGAATCAGTTTTTCATTTTTGGGGTTTTAATTAAATATATTATTTGTAAATTGAGGTAGATAATGTTTCCTGTTCCCCCAACCCTCATACTTCACCCATCCCTACACATGTCCTTGTCTTCTCTTGTCTTTTTGCATTTATATTATACATGATATTATGTAGTCCTAGAGTCATGATATTATGTAGTCCTAGAGTCCTTATTTTACTGACTTAATGGGAAATTTTTTAGTGTTTCCCCATTTAAGTTGCTAACTTTGTGTGTGTGTGTGTGTGAGAGAGAGAGAGATGGAGAGAGAGAGAGAATTTCATACCTTAGACAGCACTCACTGCAGCTGTACAATTTAGTTTATTTTAGCAAGTGTATAAAATGGTACTGCATTACCACAGTCCAGTTGTACAATATTTCTATAGCTTCAGAAAGTTTTCTTGTGTTCTTCTGTAGAGACTTGCATGTTTTTATACGGGCTTTTTTATATGTGTGAATATGTATGTCTATACCTTTATGAGAATATTTATTCTTATTTAGGAATTAACTCAAGTGAATTTCAGTGCTTGTTTTTAATAGAATTGGTAATGTTTAAAAGTTTTCTTTTTGAGCAGGTTCAATTTGTAGTCTGTCTTGGCATAGTGAAAAAATATGTCTCTTTGCAGATAAAACTTTTTTTTTAAACTTTTTGTTTTTTAATGAGTAAAGGAAGATAGATTTTCATATTCTGAAACTTTTGTCCCATGTTGTTTGTTAAAGAAGATGGCATTCCCTGTGGATATGCTGGATAATTGCAGCCATGAGGAACTGGAAAGTTCTGCTGAAGATTACATGTCAGATCTTAGGTGTGGGGACCCTGAAAATCCCGAGTATTTTTCTCTTCTCAATATTACGGTAAGGTATTCTACAGTGATTTTTAACAATCTTTTCAGTGGAGCCTGTATATGAAATCAGTATCTTTTTAATTTCTTTTAGTCATTTAAAAGAAATGTTAACTAGTGGTTTTGAAATTTTTAATCAGAAGATAGGAGTCAAATGGATAAATATTGTTTGGTTAGTACAACAGCATGATTATTTTTTAAATATTATTTGTTAATTGTGTTGTGCTTTTAAAATGACATGGAAGTAGATTACCAGTTTCATTAAGACTGGTTTACCATATTTGAATTAACTCAATTAAACTACTTTGAATTTGGAATTTGTGGTTTTAGAAATTTTTTTTATAAAAAAAATCTGCAAGACACAAAATTACATTTTTGTGCCATGAATTTTGTTTGTAAAACATTGAAGACAAAATGTCTAATTAGTAAGCTGTGATGGTTGTGATAGATCATTTGACTTGGCGTCATTGGAATTCCACTGTGTGCTTGATGGTAGACAAATTCTCAGCCTCAGATTTTTCCTCTGGAAAATTACATTGATTTAAAGGATTTTGAAAAATCTTCACTAGCATCACTAGTTTATAATTCTCTGAATGATAGTATTGCCTGTAAATAAAAAAATAGTTTTGGATTAAGAAAGACAATTGCATGAATCTCATGGGAGAAGTAAATTTACCTATCTGGAATCCACTAGTAGAAAATGGGACTTTCCCCAAATACTAGATGATAGGTTATAGTTGTTTCTTAAGGATTTTATAGATCACATCGTGCTTTTGTTTTTATTTAGGTGTGTGGGTAGACACAATAATAATTATTGAAATAAACTTCACTTTTTCCCACAAAATAATAAAATTTCCCCAAAAGGAAAGTCTGATTTGTTATTTTTTAAAAAGATACTAAAAATTCTTCTATGAAATGAGTTATATGATTAACATTATTAATATATTAAAAGTTCAGCATTTTGGTTAAAGTGTAGTGTTTTTGACATGTATTTTTAAAATAAGAGTATTCATTAACTTTTAATCAATTGTCATTTCAGATTCCTATTAGCCTGTCAAATGTAGGCTTTGTACCTCTTTATGGTGGTGATCAGACCCAGAAAATCCTTGCTCTTTTTGCACCTGAGGACTCACTCACAGGTCTCTATTTTGTTTAATCTTTGCAAATCCAGGAACTTTCTGCCAAACAAGTAAAAAATTATTAATATGAAGGAATTAGAGGAAAAAAAAAGCTTATTTCAAACTGTAAGTTTAGGAAATTATTAATTTTCGGTTGCCTGTATTTGTATGGGTGAAATAAAATAAATAAAAATTGTACCAAGGGGCCCCTCACTGTATTATGAAGTAAGGGTATATTTAAGGATACCTAGAAAAGCCTTACCAAGTAGTAATGCTGTATATTTGCACACTTAATGCTAACAATCATTTATTCTATTTTAGCTGTGGCACTTTACCTTGCTGATCAGTGGTGGGCTATTGATGATATTGTGAAAACATCTGTACCTTCTAGAGAAGGGCTTAAGCAGGTAAAATAATCCTGTAATTTTAAAAGTGTTTCTTGTGAGGCTGCCTTAAAGTATATTTCCCATGATCAGTGATAGTTTTGAAGTTATTAAACTTTTTCCCATTTTGATGGAACCTTTTAGATTTTATTCTTATGAAGAAGCTGGCATTCATGGGCTTCCTCAATTTTATGTGATTCTCTAAGTACCTGAGAATTGGGTGAGTAAGAATGAGTATATGTGGATTAGTTGAGCTGTAGTAACCCACATCAGCTTCAGCTTCTGATTTTCTTATTGGTCAGAAAAAATTGGTTCTGTCTGTGTGATTTCTTAACTTCTCTGTCTTTAGGAAAAACTTACCTGGAAATTTGGCTATCAGTAGGAATTTGGGTAATCGATACAGTCTTCTTAATGGTGGCATGGAATAGAGGTCCTCTGTAGCTTACCACAAATGTCTTTTTTTCTGTCTCCTCTCTCTGCTTTTATCAGTTAGAGGAAAATAAGATGGCCATGCTTATCGATTCTACCTGCCCCAGTGCTGAATGGGTGAACTAAATAAACTGTGACAAGCAGAATTAAGAACCAAAGAGATCAAACATGATGAAAGTAAATAGGGATAAATGTTAAAGTAGTACCCAAGGTTCAAGTAATTAACTGTACATGTACATTATGATCACCAAACTAAGAAATGAAAAAGAATGAGCTTTAATTAGAAGTAAAATCATGGTAAACAGAAAAGCTCACAAGTCCTAAATCCTTAGGTTTATACAGAAAAGCCCCATTGTTTTAGCATTACCTTCCATGGTGTACTGTGCCATCTTGCATGCCCAATATGAAAAGTGGTGTGTGGAGCAATTTTAAGGGAAGGATTGAAATGGCAGTAGTCCCCCAAACTTAGATTAGTCTTTCCCTTCAGTTGTTCTTACATTTAGCATGGTATGAAATTTAGGAGAACACTGCGGGCGTCTTCAAATATTTGTAAGCTGTGTGGTTCCAGAAGGTAAAACTAGATTTCAGTTAGAAAAAATTTCATGCTGTTCAGAGTTGTCCATGGGAAGAGGGGTTGCCTTTAGTAAACATTGTCTTTTCATGTATTGTTTGTTGCTGGAGATCCCCTATCAGGCTTGTTTTTGAGAGTAATGTGTGAATGGTTAATGCATTTTCACTCTACTCACCCATTAGAGGGCATATTTGTTTAAGGAGGTTTAGGGGAGAGTAGACTTTACAGGCAAACCTTTTTATTTTTATTTTTATTTTTTTATTTAAGTCAGTGAAAGATGTCTATGGAAAAGACCCTAATTGTTTGATGACAGAGAGTTGGGGTGGGGGGTTGGGGGCTCTGTGACCGTTTAGCCCTGCATGTAGGTGGTATGGCTCTGTTTCCATTCTATGATTTTCCTAAGTACATCTTCACTGGACTCACTGGTGCCACTGTCATCTTTCATCTGACCTGGCAGAGAGGAGTGTATATGAGGGGATATTCCTTAGAGTTGGACAACAAAGTGTGGCTGTTAAATGAACAGTTTACCTGGAAAAGGTAAAACTGATTCCCATCCCAGAGCATAATTATGGCTTTATTCATCAAATGAAGTAACTTTTCTTAAAGTCTTCAGGGTATAGCAAAAAGTATTTTTTTCCTTTTCTTCTTTTTAATGAGGAGGCAGGAAATGGTAAGAAACAGTTGAAGTAGTAGAGAAGATGGGGCCAGCAACAACAGTGGGAGATTTAGGATCTAGGAAGCTGGAAGCTGAAAGAAAACATTGCGTATTAAAGAGATGATGCTAGAGATAGACACACTAAGAATCTGTGTCTGTTCTATAGTTTTGCTGAGAGCAAAATATGTGTAATATTTGTCTACAGAAATGGGTTGTTATTGGTATGATTGTCTAGTCTGATCTTTGTGATAATCAATTGTTTTACAAATTGTTTTGATGTATTTACAGTGCTATGAATGATTAAATCAGGGAGCACGTAAATAGCATCTCTGATTTGATGCATGTTATAACTGTTGTGCCTGGTGTTTGACTCTTTTTGTAGGTGAGAACTCTTGGGGAAAGAGTGGTTCTGTATGTTCTCAATCGAATTATTTATAGAAAACAGGAAATGGAGAGAAGTGAGATCCCATTCCTGTGTCATAGCAGTACTGATTATGCTAAGATACTGTGGAAGAAAGGAGAGGCCATTGGGTTTTATTCTGTTAAGCCTACAGGTGAGTCTTTAAAAGTTATTTAAACTATATTTTATCAAAACCTTCTTTTAGACCCCCATGTATCGGTATCCCTTTTAAATCAATCTCTAGAGTGCAGTTGAGGTGATTCTACTTAGTATTTTGGAAGTACTTTGATTCTGCCATTCTCTATCAATGAGGATTGTTAGGAAAGTCTTCAGAGAAAGCAAAATAAAAATAAACATTTGACAAAGAGGAAGATTTCTTCATAACATTTGTGGAGAAAGACAGTCATCCCACTTCCTCTTCATTATTTGAAGGTGGTTGTTCATTTTCATTCCTGCAGTTATCACTATTACTGGTTCCTTTTTTTTT